ACTCCTGCTGGGTGAGTTTGCTACTTTTTGTTCTAGAGCTTTCAGGTGTGCTGTTGATTAGTATGAGATTTCTCCACATTCTTTATGTAAGCATTAGTGCTATGAACTTTCTGCTTAGCAGTTCTTTCATGGTGTCCCATAAGTTTGTTGTGCTTTTATTTTTCATTGAAATCTAAGAAGTCTTTAATTTCTTTCTTCATTTCTTCATTGACCCAGTAATGATTCAGTTTAGCATTGTTCAATTTCTGTGAGTTTGTAGGCTTTCTGACATTAGTGTTGTTAAATTCTAACAGGTTGGGAGTCATTCCAATTTTTGTATCTGTTGAGGGTTTTTTGTTACCAAGAATGTGGTCAATTTTAGAGAGGGTTTAATGAAATGCTAAGAAGATATATTCTTTAGTGTTTGGATGGAACATTCTATACATATCTGTTAAGTCCATTTGAATCATAGTCATAATATTTGTCAATTACCTTATTTCTCTCTTAAGTTTCTGTCTGGCAGACCTGTCCAGAGGTGAGTCAGGCCCTGAAGTCTCCTACTATAAGTATATGGGTTTTGATGTGTGGTTTGAGCTTCAGTGATTTTTTTTTCCTCAAGACCTATTATTTTATATTTTTTCTTATTTTACATATTGATCCCAGTTTCCTCTACTTTACACCCTCCCATGCCCCCACCCCAATTCCCCTGTTCCACTCCCCATCAACTCCCCAGGGATGGTGAGGCCTTCCAGGAGGGATCATCAAAATCTCTCAAGTCATTTGCAGTAGGGATTAGTCCCTCCCTCATGTCTCTAGGCTAAGGGAGTATCTCTCCATGGGGAATGTGCTCCCAAAGTCCTGTCATGCACCAGGGATACATCCTAGTTCAACTGTCAGAGGTCCCTTAGACTGCCCAGGTCTTCTAATTGAGACCCATGTCACTGGGTCTGAGTTGGTCTTATGCTGGTTTCCCAGCTATCAGTCTGGGGTCCATGAGCTCCCCCTTGTTCAGGTCAGCTGTCTCTGTGGGTTTCTGCAGCCTGTTTGTGACCCCTTTGTTCATCACTCCTAACTCTCTGCAACTGGATTCTAGGAGTTCAGCTCAGTGTTTACTGTTTTCATATCCATTCTGATAACCTGTGTCTTTATATAGGTGAATTGAGACCATTGATATTAAGAGAAAATAATGATAAGTGATTGTTAATTCTTGTTATATTTGGTTTTGTTAATGGTGGTGGTAGTGCTTGCGTGTTTCCCTTCTTTTGGGGTTTGATGGTTTGGGGTTACCTGTTGCCTGTGGTTTTGGGGGATGTAGCTAACTACCTTGGGTTGGAGTTTTCCTTCCAGTGCTTTCTGTGGGGCTGGATTTGTGGACGGATATTGTTTAAAATCTGGTTTTCTTATGGGATATCTTGTGATCGAAAGTATCACTGGGTATAGTAGTCTGTAATGGCATCTGTGGTCTCTTAGTGTCTACAGAACATCTGCCCAGAACCTTCCAGTTTTCAGAGTTTCCACTGAGAATTCAGGTGGAATTCTGGTGTCTGCTTTTATATGTTATTGGGTCTTTTACCTTTGTAGCTCTTGGTGTTCTTTCTTTATTCTCTATATTTAGTATTTTGATTGTTATATGGTCCAGTCTATTTAGTATTCTGTAAGCTTCATGTACCTTCATAGGCATATCTTTCTTTAGGTTGGGAAAGTTTTCTTCTATGATTTTGTTGAATATACTTTCTGTGCCTTTGAGCTGGAATTCTTCTCCTTCAATTCCTATTATTCTTAGGTTTAGTTTTTTCATAGTATCCTAGATTTCCTGAATGTTTTATATTAAGAATTTGTTGGATTTAACATTTCCTTTTATTGACAAATTTATTTTCTCTATTGTATCTTCAATGCCTGAGATTCTCTCTTTCATCTCTTGCATTCTGTTGGTTATGCTTGCATATGTAGTTCCTGTTCATTTGCCTAGATTATTCATTTCAAGAATTATCTTGGTTTGTGTTTTATTTACTGCCTCTATTTCAATTTTTAAGTCTTGAACCCATTTGTTTCTTGGCTTTCTTTAAGGGATTTATTGATTTCTTTCAATTTTTTGTTTGTTATTTTTTTTTTTTTTTACTACTACTAAATACCCTTTTGCCTAAACATAGGCAAAAGTAAATCTTTCAGTTGTAATAAAAATATAGTTGAATAGAGCTCATAGGCATATAAAAATGTAGGACTCTAGTGCATTTTATTTCATAGACATCACAAAAGCAGCATTATTAAAATTAGGTTCTATAACTCCACTGTCCTGCTTTTCTTTCTTTTTTTTTCTTTTTTCCATTTTTATTTATTTATTTATTTTATATAACCAAGTCCGTTTAAATGAAAACAAACATTTATAGACAATATTTGGGAATTTGGGCGTCGTTCTTTCCAAACTATGTTTGTTATTTCTTTAAGGAAAATTTTCATTTCTTTTTTAAGAGTCTCTATTATCTTCATAAACTTTTAAAGTTATTTCTTTCTGCTTCATCTGTGTTGGACTATTCAGGTCTTGCTGATGCAGGACCACTAGTTTCTGGTGGTGCCATATTGCTCTTTGTGCTGTCTACCTATCTCTTCCTCCAGTCAGTACAGTTAGGGCCTGGAGCTCTGGTGATTGTTCTTCCTGAGTTATAGTTGAGGTATCTTCCTCTGAGTGAAGTTGATTCCTGTGGCTCTGGTGGTCACTGGTGTAGTGGCAGGGGATGGTTGGGTGGATTGGGTGTTGCTGCCTGACTGCTGGGGTGTCATGGGTGGGAGGGTGTAGGGGCTAGGACCTAGCAAGCAGGGCTCTCAAGCCTGGATTTAAGGCACTGACCTGTCCCTCCAGATGCAGGTGGAAATGGTGTTTTGGGTGGTCACTGGTGAGGTGGCAGGGGATGGTTGGTGGGAGAGGATGCTCCTTTCTGGTCACTGGGGGTAAAGAGTAACTTCTTATTCCAAAGATGCTAGTATGTAGAGATGAAGGCTTTGTCTGCACCAGCTGAACTTTCCCATGTTCAGTTTGTTTTGCAGATATCTTCAGCAATGGGGCCTTCCTGTCAGTTGGGGTTTTTTGTTTTGTTTTAATTTTAGAGCAATGAATACACTTGACAATAGCCTGGATGTTTGGGTCTTCCCATGGGACCCCTTGGCCAAGAACTTGATTATATATAACCCATTCCCAGTACTGGAAACTTCATTTGATCATGAGGGATGTCCAATTGTCGCTCTGTCTCCCCTATTATTTGGTAATTTCATTTAGTTTACCTTTATATATGCATATATTATAGGAATCTTCTTCTGTATTAGGTTTCCATACAACCCCTCTAATGGCTCTGAGTTTTATCTGTCACTATACCTATATCTATCCCTCCCTTGCTCCCTCTTTCTTTGTCCTCTCTGTTTGACCCTCCTGTTATAGTCCCTATCCCTGTCCACCCATGACTATTTATTCTACTTCCCTTCTCTAAGGAGATCCATACCACCTCCCTGGTCCTTTATTCAATACCTAATTTCTATAATTATATGGACTGTAGCTTGCTTATCAATGTCTCAACAGCTAACATCAATATATAAGCAAATCATGCCATTTTGTCTTTCTTTTTCTGGGTTACCTCACATGGGCTGTTTTCTTTTCCAACTCCATCCATTTACCTGTAAGTTTCATGACTTCAACATCTTGGAGGTATAGAGGGAGGAGCCCTAATCAGAACATATTGTCTGAAAAAAACCTATTTTCACAAAAATAGGAAAAAATATAAAATTTTAAAAAATGAAGATTGAATTGTCTCAGTCCTGTGTCCAAAGTACATAGCATCTTCAGCAATAAGAACTTTCTTAAACTTCTAGAAACAATCAAGGGCAATACAATAACCTATATTTTATTTATTCTCTTGGAATTTCCTTACCAACTTGAGAAGGTGCCTCCACCCATTACTGATGGTTTTGCTATATAGTCTATGGCTTTTGGTAGGAGTATGACAATGGCAACTTCATTTCAACATATCTATACCTACATCTATATCTGTGTATGTGTATACACAAATACCATGTATTATATGTACTTTTATATAAATATAAAACACTATGATTACTTATGGCTTTTCAAACATTCTTAGTGTTATCTATTCCTCCTCCCTCCCTGTCTACCTGTATTACTTCCCTCCTACCCAATTAAAGCCCCAATTTGCCACATTTCTCTTTAATATCAACTGTGTCTTGGCTCTCCCCTCTTTATTATTCCTCCACACCCACTATGTTATTTTCTTTGATTTTCTTGTTTCTATAGTTATTCTAAGATATGTGCTTACATCAGAGATTTGGAGCTAGGAACCACAATTTAGAGGGAGCATGAAACATTTGTCTTTATAGTTCTGGGTTACCTCACTGATATTTTCTAGTTCCATCAATTTACATGTAAAGTTCCTGATTTCATATTATTTATAGCCAATAGTATCCCCTGGTGATATATGTACCACATTTTCCTTATCCATTCATCAGTTGAAGGATATTTAGGTGTGATGTTGCTTGCTTGGTATTCCTAGTGTGGTTTTACTGATCTTTTCTTTTAAGTCAAGAAGATGTAGAGAAGAGACTCATAACTTGTCCATTCAAGTTCTGAGTAAAATGACTATATTCTTGGCCCTAGGTGAGAAAATTATATGAAACCCCTAACAAAGGGGAAAATATGGCATATGAGATAGGAAGAATGTATGAACTGGAGGATGGGGAGGACAGATATGAAACAGTGTCTTCCAGACATGGCATGACCAATGTACTCATGAATTCACTGCAGTTGTGCTTACTACATGTGATCAATCCACAATATCAAATGATCATCCATATTCCATGTGGAAGAAGCACCAGCTGAACTCACAGAGTTACAAGAAAAATAGAATGTGAATGTAAGAGGGGAATACATTGGGTTTGCCAGAGGGTTTGGAGAATTAGGGTGGATATGATCAATGCACACATATAGGAAATCGTCAAGTCGTAAATAACAGATAGGTAAGTTGCTCAGAAAGATAACAAATTGTTTATTGAGAGCTAATCTATGTCCAATACATGGTAGATGTTAGATGAAAATTCATGTAGCCCCACAACAAAGGATATAGGAGACAAGGAAATGATGACACTTGCGCCACTACAGCAGGACATGCTGTTTTCAAAACATGTGTGGCCTCACAGTTGTACAGCACAGGAGAAAGATTTGGGGCAGTAATTCGTGTTTCTCCTAGCTAAGTGAAAGCACTTACAATCCTCAAAGTGTTGCTCCATAGTATATTTAAAAGCAAGAAAAGATGTTAACCCTGAAAAACACAAAAGAAAATGACCTCATCATCAATTAAACAGACTGATCCAAAAATTATCTTTAATATCTTATCTGCAGGGGTATCAGTCTCACACATACACAGAGATTGATACAGAAATAGACTATAAGCATAAACATTGAAATGTTAGTCATGCTTGACTTTCTTCATGACTCCTTGAGTTTAACTACTTACTTGTGTGAACATCTTTGGGGTAGTAGGTTGGTGATTTACAGGAGTGTGGGCAATTCATCAGTGGTAGATTCACAAGGAATATGATAGTTGTAATGGTTAATTTTCCCTGTCAGCTTAACAAAATCCAGAGTTACCTGAAAAGTCTCAGTGTGGTATTTTCTGATCAGGCTGACCTAAGGGACTGTCTTAATTACACTGACTATGGGTGGCACCACCAATCCCTAAAAAGGTGATTCTAAACTGTGTAAGGCTGGACAAAGTGTGCTGTGTACTAGCCTACATGCTTTAACTCATTGCTCTCTGCTTCTGACTGTGGATACAATGTGACCAATTCTTTCAAGATCCTACTTCCATAACTTCGCTGAAGATGAGCTATTATCTAGAATTGTGAGATAAACTCTTTCTCCATTGAATTGCTTTTATCGGGTTATTCTGTCACAGCCACAGGAAGTGAAACTAAGACAGACCCATATAACCAAATATTTGATAAGCATTAAGTGAATTGTGAAGTCAGCATGAAGTTCTGTTAAGATAAAAATTGATGCAAAAATTTACTTAATATAACAAACATTGTGTACCTATACATATATATGTAAATGTATATATTATTTGCTTTTCTTTATTAGTATATTGAACAAAATAATGTTTTTCTGTAATGTTTAATATACATTCATTATGTACTTGTTACCCTTTCTTCACCCATCTCTACTCACACCAATTCTGTTTCTCCTCCCAAACGGTTACACTAATCTCCGATTCCAACCATGTTTCTGAATAATACTCCATTTTCTTTTTCTTTGTGGCAGAATAAAGCCATACTGTGTGTACACACCATATGTGATAGTTAAGATTGAGTGTCAACTTGACAGATTTTAGAATTTCTTAGGAGACAAGCCTCTGGCAATACCAGTGAGCGATCATCCAGATTACATTAACCAAGATGGGAAGACCCACTCTACATGTGGAAGTACCATCCCATGGGCTGGGGGACTGGATTGTATAAAAAGAAGAAAAAGAGCCCACACCAGAGTTCATTTCTCTGTTTCCTGGCTGGGATGCCATGTGACCAGTTACTCCATGCTCCTGATATTATGATTTCTTTGCCATAATGGATTGTACCCTTGAACTGTGACAAAATAACCCCCCTTTCTTAAGCTACTTCCATCTGGTATTTTGTCTCAATGACAAAAAAGTAGCTAAGATACCTTCTTTGACTAATCCACCTACCTGTCACTTGTCAACTAGGCTGGTCACAGAACTTAAGAATGTGAACTATCACATTCTTTTGAAGCAGTAAGAACATCTTCCTGACAGCCTCATTGACCATTGACTAGGATAAAATCCTTAACATGTACATTCTCTTTGCATCTCTGTATGTCACCCTATGCAGTCACACAGTTGGTAAGTGTTAAAGATGGGGTATAAACCTAAGCATCCTGCTCTAATATCCCCATCCTAAAATTCTATGTGAGCACACTTAGCAGTCACAGTAACTGACATGAGGCATTGTTCAGCATTGCTGAGCAAGTGTACCCCTTCTAGTCAGCCCCAGCAGGAAACACATAGTCACTCCCTTACCATATTGGAAACGGAGTGCATAGATGTCAGTAAGATCCCCGAAGTCTGGGAATGGGAGCTAGATTCAGTCTTCCTAATGATGACTTTCCTATATGCATCCCGTACCTGGAGATGGAGACACAACAAAGCAAGGCATTGAACCAGTGAGTAAGTTTTGGATCTCCAGCACCCACATAACAAAAACAAGTATGGTGCTTAGCTCTAAACAGAACATATACATCGCTCAACATACCAAGAGTCAGTAAACATCATGGAAAATGAGGAAAGAAAGAATATAAGAGCTAGAGGAGGGGGAGGGTTCTTGTGAAATGCAGTCTTCTGGCTATGCCATTCCATCACACTCATGAACTCTCAGCAGCTGTCAGTTCCTGCAGAGGGTCAAGCCAGCCAAATTCTAAACTGGATTGGGTAAAAGACCTCTAGAACCCACCCTCTACTAAGGACTGATTGGCAGTTAATCATTTCTAAGACAGAAAATTTTCTTCTCTGGGGATATGCTCCAATGGATTTCCCCGTTCCTGTGAAAAACACTAACTGGACTTAGCAAGGATTTTCAAGTCATGTAACATGAAGTTTGTTGGGGAACATGTTAAGAGGAAAATGTGGGAAGCTGAGGGTAAGAATGGCCGTGGGTATGAATATATTTCATTGTATGAGACTCTCAAACATGAAGAAAATTCAGGGGGACACACCAACATGGTTTCACACTTCTGGATAGACAGAGACAGAAGGTGCTTGCTGGGCCTGCTGGCTGGCTGACCAGTCTATCTTAATAGATGTTCCATGCTCTGTAAGATGTGTCTCAAAAGATAACACTGAAGGGCTAGACAGAAGACACTGGTTCAGAGTATACCTTGTTCCTACAGTGGACCTGAGTTTAAATCTTAACAACCATGTCAAGAGCCTCACAAATACCCACAACTCCAACTTTAGTTGATTTCAAGCCTTCCTCAGGCCACTACAGGCCCTACATTCATGTGCATAGGCGAGGTGACACATTCTTCTGAAAATACCATCTGCCTTTGAAGACACTGAACTTTTCTCAGACCTTGCAACTAGGTTAATAATATACCTTGAAATAAACTAAAACTATGTGTTCAACCTTATATCCTATCATGTGCTCAACCTGCTTAAGTCTAACCTACATTTAAGAGAACAATATAACCAACCTTACTATGCCTTGAATTGCCCGTGGTATCAGTTTTTAAAATCTAAGCCAAAGGATAGCTTTAATCTTAAATTATGTACCCTCCCAAATCTCTGACCTAGAAGTAAGTGAGTGTGTGTGTTGATCATTTGCTGAGAACAACAAACAGGTTGAAAGCAATCTGAAATAAAACTAATATGCCACAAATGTGAACAACAACAACAAAAAATAAATAAATAAAACCACAAAGGCACAGGTTCATCATATCTGCAATTCTGACTGCTCTTCTGAGTCAGCTGTGGTCATTAAGTAACTTTCCCCTTTGTAAAACTCTGTCAAAGATTTCTGTAAATAACTCCTTGTCCCCTTTCCATGCTGTGTTTTCTGTACTGTTCAATAAACAGAATAATCACAATAGAGACACAATAGATAAACAACACATAGGCAATACAGACAGATGCAATATATTCCACATGTAGGCCAAACAGACCAGGCTGAAGACAGACAGGAGGCATGAAGAGAGAAATAGAGACTTCACAATTTGGCTTTCTCTTGGTTAAACTGCTCTGAGAGGAGATCACACACAGGTGCATATCAATTTAAATAAAATACTAGAGGCCAGAGGAATATGATGGAGGAAGACACCAATGTCAGTCTCTAGCCTCCAGAGAAACAAGAGCAGAGGTATGAATATACATATACAACATACAAAACATACATGCACACAAATACATACAACACACAAAATACACACATACAACATACACACAACATGGCATTCTAGATAGGGAAGTGGATCTGCTTTAAGCAGATGAAGTGGGTGGTTCTATGCAGAAAGACAGGTGGGAGGTGGCAGCCAAATACCTGGCGATTGAGCAGACAGTGAATGAGAAAGATGAAGGCACCCTGCAGGCTGTTGATAATGGTGAACAGGTACGCCATAATGCTTGCCATGGGGCCAATCTGGAAAATGCCCAGCACCCAGGAGCAGCCCAAGATGAATATCTGGGCAATAGCCTTGAAGGTCAGCAACCTGGAAGATAATATTTACAAAATGAATTGTCCTGAGAGTTGGTATGGTCTCCACAAAGACACTTGGCACTGTCTGAAGATGACAGCAACCAACTGGCTCAGCACCATGCTAGGGATACAGAAAGAGTGAAATTAGCTGTCTCAAGGTAAATGAATCAAGTTCTATGGGCAATTAAAATGCTGTTGTTCAGAGATCCACATGGATTCAAAGGTAGGTGTGTGTGTGTGTGTGTGTGTGTGTGTGTGTGTGTGTGTGTTGAATAGATTTTTGTTTAGCAATGAATGACTACATGGGCTCATTGTCCAGATACTTAGACCTCATTATGTGAGTGTTAAATCCATGGTTATAAAATACTGAGAGTTCCTTCTTTCATTGAGGCAAAATTCATAATTTGAAGAAAATAAACTTCTTTTCAGTGACTTTGAGTACACTCACACATCATGCAGTCACTACTATATAGTTCCAAATCCTTTTTTAAATCATATTTTCCTTTTTATTATCTCAAAAATGAAATACACACATTACAAGAAAAGAAACACCATACATGCAAGGCAATTATTCTCTTTTCCTCTGACCTAAAGAAGATAATAACCAAATATTCATCAAAATAATAAAATAAGTGTAGATAAGTATAGTGTACATAAGACATAACACCATAATGAATATACCATAGAATAAAACAGATAAATATAGGATGGGTCATATGTGTCATATCTAATTAATGAACATATCATATAATCAAACTAATAAAAGTGGGATAAAGAAAATGTAGCACAGCCACTCAATGGAACACTATGCTGCCATAAGAAGGGGTGAGGCACTGGTAGCTGACAAATGTGGACGAGTCCTATGAACTTCATAATAAATAAAAATACAGACAAATGCCATTTATTGCAAGGTCAAATTTATTTAGATATCAAGACTAGAGAGAGAGAGAGAGAGAGAGAGAGAGAGAGAGAGTTGTAAGACTATTTTGTAAAATAAGAAGAGGAGGAGGAAGAGAAAGAGTAGCTGACCACAAGTTGTACTGAGCAATGGTCTGGGTCTGGGGACATTTAGTGAATGACTGATTCATTTGCTAATTCTCTGACATTTGTGAGACATTCACCTTCTCTGTATCTCACACTGCCTTCCCCAGCCAGAGAAAGAGATTTAGACCAGACCATATGGATCACTGAGCAAACCTAGCACCAAGAATCATGGATTTAAGACCTGCTTGTCCTACAGAAGTATAGTCTCTCTCAAAATAGTCAAGCATTTTAGAATATTATGATGTTTTGCATTGTATGTATATCTATTTCTATGCATGTGTGTGTGGTACCTGGATGTTGTGAATGTATGTATGCACACGTATGTACATATGTGTATGTGTGTAGATGGATGTTTATTTTGTATGTATATATGTGCATGTGTGTGCATGTAAATACATTGAGTATGTGCATGTGAAAGTGCAGGCATGTACATGTGTGTGTGCATGTTGTTCATACATGTACATATATACCTGGGTATGTATGTGTGTACATGTTTGTATTATATACATCCATATGTGCATATATCCATGTTTATGTGTGTACATGTGCATGTGTGTGTATGTTGGGTGTGTGACTGTGTGTATATATTTGTATTATGTGCATGTGCATGTGCATGTATACATGCACATATGTGTGTATATATGCCCATGTTTGTGTGTTCATGTATATGTATGTCTGTGGTGGTTTAAAAAACATGTCCCCAAAGGTAGTGGCAGTATTGGGAGTTGTGGTTTTCTTGGACTAGATTTTGTGTTACTGTGAGGGAGGGCTTTGAGTTCTCCTATGCTCAAGCTACTCCCTGTGTCACAGTCTATTTCCTATTGCCTGTGAAATCAATATGTAGCAACTCCTTCTACAATGCCATGTCTGCCTGCACACCACCATGCTCCACACCATGATGATAATGGAATAACACTCTGAAACTGTAAGCTGTCACCTCAATTAAATGTTTTCCTTTATAAGAGTTGCTATGGTCATGGTGTCTTTTCATGGCAATCAAAACCCTAACTCAATGTCCATATTTGTGTGTATCTGTGACTATGTCCATGTTTGTGTTATGTGTACATTATGCATGTATTCCTTGTTTATATGTGTGTGCATTATGCATATTTGTCCATATTTAAATATATGTGCATTCTGCATGTTTGTCTATGTTTGACTTTGTGCATTGTGTGTTTATGTTTTTGTGTGCATATGCAGGTGCTCACTCTGAGTGTATCAACAGTTGCAATCTAAAGAAGACTTGCCGTTCCCAGCAACTGTGACAATGCTTTATTAGTTACCTAAGCAAACAACATCATTATCCCCTTCCTACAGATAAAGAAACAGGTTTGAAGAAGTCATGTAAGCAATGTACTATCATACAGATCATAAATGGTATTGACGGAATGGGAAGTTTGTCACCTGGATTCTGCTATTCAATGCAAATCCCATCACTTCCCTGTCATAAGCACACAAAAGGTGACTAGAGGCTGGCAGGTGGCTCAATGGGTAATGGCTAAACAAATATCAGCACACATGTGAGGACCTGGGTTTAAACCTGAGAACCCACATAAAACCAAATGTATAACATGAATATCTGTAACCCCAGCAACCCTGTGATGAGAAAGGAAGGGGAGAGAGGAGACCTAATCCAGATGTCATGTCATACACAGTGGTGAACAACAAACAACTCTATCTCAAACGAGATGGAAATTAAAGACCAACACCCAAACTACCCTCCAAACCCTACATATATGCAATAGTATGCATACACCTGTACCTGCACATGATATATACAGAAAGGTGAGTGGTGAGACTCTGTCAGAAGAAGGAAGGGAAATGAGTGAGGGTTAAAAAAAAAAACCAGAGGCTATACCTGGTGTCCTTGAGTTTTGAGACATCTGAGTTAACACTGCAAAGCTTCTGTCTCAGCACACACAGTGTCCAGGTGAGAAGAATGGAGTTGATCTGTAAGGTCAAACAGAGGGTGGGTAGACAAGATGCACAGACTGACTGTGAACAGTCAATTGCACATAGAACTCTGGCCTCCGGTAACTCAAGCACCATTCCAGGCTTCCATCCTGGATTTATCAGGCCTGAATAACCAGGACTTGATACATCACTGACAGCTTCCCAGTTGATTCCTCTTCTAATTTAGGATGAGCAGCAGAAAGCCTTCATCACCCCTGACAGACCACATAGGACTTGTGGTTATTTGACCTGATGCTTCCCCATGCTACATCATTCAAAACCCACTTCTTATGCACTGAAACTTGCCCTTCCCTGCCTGCTCCTAAGCCCACGGATGTACACACCTCTCCTGTTACATGCAGGACCACACTGAGTCCTGTCTGAATGATCTTTGACACCCTTCCCGGGGGCCCCTACTAGAGGAGAGACCTCCTAGAGAGCTTGAACCACCGAGAGTAACAGACATCAACCTCCTGACCCACCTACACCCACCAGGAGGGTAGCGGAGAGAGAGAGAGACTCCACCTTAACCCACTGGAAGGAGCGATGGGAAGACGGCAATACAAGAAAACACCTAACAATAGAAAGACAAGCATGACACAAGCAGAATCTTAGTACTGTCTACACCAACTAGACCCGAACACACCAAAGAAGATAAAGCATGAGAGAACGACTTAAAAAATAACTTCATAAAAATGATAGAGGTCCTCAAAAACAATATGAGAATGGAAGAAAAAATGAACAAAAACTAGAACAAATTAACAAATCTCTTAAAGTAAGAAAAGCCAAGAAAAAAAAAAAGATCAAACAGATGAAGGTAACAATTGAAACAGTTCAAGATATGAAAACTGAAATACACACAATAGAGAAAACAAAAACTGAAGGAATGTTGGATCCATCAGAAAATACAGATGCCAGCATTACCAACAGAATACAAGAGATCGAAGAGAGAATCTCAGGTGCTG